GAGAGAGAGAGAGAGAGAGAGAGAGAGAGAGAGAGAGAATGATTTATTGCTAACCAAGGCTTATATATCTTTCGGGGCTATGCAAGCCCCCTAATTACAGGTAAAGGCGTACATCACAGGAAGGGGTTGTGCTATAGGTAATACAGTAATGGGAGGGGGGATGATTTTGGGGTATACATGCAATAGGAAGGGGAGGAATTGGGGGTACACATGCGACAAGGTGGGCGGATTCTAGATTCAGGATGGGGACCTAACCTTGGATGTCACTGAGCAGGTTTGACCTGTTCTTTGGATCCCCATGGAAACCATTATCAGTAGGGTGTAAACCCCACCTACAGTGGACCAGATGCCTTCAGGGAGAATATCTTTAAGCATCTGACCTCCCACTATGTACTGGCAAACAGCCTCTAATATTGGGCATATCTTTGGGGGAGACAAAGCTGGGGAAAAGTCTTCTTATAATCCCACAGGTAGGTAGGTACTCCTGAGAACCAGATTCGTTTGAGATCTTCATCTAGTGACACCTGGTGACATCCCTGCCACTGTCTCTGTTGGAAGAGAGGGTTGAGAGTTCCCAATGTCCTCAGTGGGATTAGTCTTTGAGAGGCTTAGTGGCATTGGGGAGAGCATGAGCCTAGTGTCTTCTGAGAGGGATGCCCCCACCGCACCTTCATCAGAGGAGACCTGATTGGGCTCACATTCTTTCATGTTACAGTGCTCTGAAGAGGCAAGGTGAATGTCCCTTAGGTCTCTGAGTGGTTTATTTGTTGATAGTCCTTTTCTCTTTGGACATTGGACTCTTGACTAGTTTGAGGTTTGGCGGCCTATGTGGTTCTCTCCTAGGTGCCTGTACAGGTTATCCAACCCTGACTGTAAGACCAACAGTGACCAGCAGAGCTGGAGCCATCAAAGTGCTTGGGGCAACTGCTTCTGTGTCTTGCTATTTATTTCCAACTTCTGTTTCTCAGGATTTGGTTCCCAAAATGAGTTGCTCCACAGGGTCTTTTCTCTACTGCCTTAGGACCCATGTCAGCAAGCCTCTTGCCCACCAATCCCCCAGAGGCTGAGGGTTGTTGTTATGAACCCTGCGGTTGTTACCTAATATGGTGTCAATTTGAGACTATTAAGAGCGGAAGGGGTGGAGTTTAGCCTGCCAATCAGGTCGCAGCTTGCTGACCTCATTTGGAGGCGCTAAGGAGATAAATAGCTTGCTGGAGTCGGGACACTCACTTCCTCTCTGTGAGACACCTGTGGACAAGACACTTAGAGCTATGCTAGAACCCTGGAGCTGAGGAGCCATGTGGAGATCCTCGCCAGTGCTGAGATGCTTATACTACCACTGGATCCACAAGACTTTCCACCCACTGGCCTATGATCTTCCTGCATTTGGCATCATTGTATGCATTTCGTGAGTCTGAACAGGAATTTATAGATTGGGATCGGACTTATGGACTTGATCTGGACTGGGCTGGGATGTTTTCTCAATATTCAGTTGCTCTTGTATATAAAGCTCTTTCTTATACACATATGAGTGTGAATGAATTTGTTTTTCTAGTCAACCCAGACTAACACAAACCCTCTTAAGGAGTCCCAATGGTTAGGTATTGGGCTGCTAGCCACAAGGTTGTTGATTCAAACCCACCAACCCGTCCTTTGGAGAAAGATGAGCTTGTCTGCTCTAGTAAAGATTTAGTCTCAGAAACCCTATATAGAGTTACTAGGGGTCCAGTGGGTTTAGTTTTGAGCCCCATTGTTGGGTAAACAAATAAGAGACCCCACTGTCTAGTCAGATTTCCCGTTAGTCCAGGTAAATTTTCTTTCTGGAAAATTGCTGATTAATATCAAACAGTATGGTGTGATGGTTAGGTGTTAGGTTGTGATCCACAGGGTTGGCAGTTCGAACACCAGCAGATCTGAGGGAGAAAGACTGGGCTTCCTCTTCTCATAAACAGCCTCCGAAACCCACAAGGGGTTTGCTATGCATCAGCATTGACGAGATAGTGGTGACTTTTTTGAGTATAAAAAATAATTCCTATTAAAAAATATTTGCCGTGTTGACTTTTGCAACACGTCAGATTCAGTTTTAGAAAAAGTGGTTCTTCCTCAGTCCTCGGAATGCTAGTAGATTTTGCCTGCAAGTGACCAAGCTCAGGCTCCTTGTCTTGTTTCAGAACAGAGCCATCCGCACTGCCAGTGTGCTGGGCCCCACTAGCAGCGTTCGTTATCATTGCTTATCATTGCTCATCACTGGCATCACGATGTCCATTCGATGCTGTGCTATTGACAAGGCTTTGGTGAGGTTTCTTCTTCTTTTTGACCTTTTCTGATAAAGTAGGTATAAAATAGGGTACAGATCAAAGTTTTACGTGAAACAGTCCTTGTGCATTCTGGTCCAATCCATTCATTGCAACTCTCGGAATATCGTGACCCGGCCCATTCTCTTGCTCTCCCTTCCCTGTTTCTGTTCCTCCTTCTTCCCTAGCCTTCTGAACTTTGTCTTTGGGTGAATTTGCTCTTAAACGGTTGGTTATTACAACGTGGAGATGAGCTCCCTTCTAGATCTGAAGAGTCAGGGCCGTCATCTTGAGGGTTGAGGGAGAAAAGGCAGTCGGTGGTCAGGGAGGCTGCTGAGGAAGGCCCCTTCTAGGGAGAGCCAGGCTTTCCTTTGAGTGAGAGGCTGAATGCAACATTCGGAGAGGAGAGGGAAGAGATTGGGCATTTTGTCACGAGGGTCTGAGTTTCAGAGGCATCCTTGAGAACATAGCGAGACAGGGACACACTAGGAAAGGTACGGATACTTACAGTGCGTGCCACTTGGTCTGACTCTTCAGAAACAGGATAGCACATATTGATGAGTGTTGGTGGGCTCAAGGCAGTTAGTGGTGGTGAAGCATGGGCTTTTTAATGAGGGCAGTGAGGGTGCCAATAGGGTACCTGTGGGGAGGGAGGGGCAGAATCCAACCTGTCAATCAAGAGGTAGCCCGATGACATCTCCTGAGGGGTGTGGCCTTTTGTATGAGAGTGAGAGACACTGGGAACCACTCGTCTCTCTGCCTCTGCACCTCCCTGTTTGCTGGGATTCTGTGCCTGCCTCTGGGGGGTGCCCTGAGAGCTAGCTGGGCACGGCCATGTTTTCCCTGACTTTGGATCCGTGTGACTGCACCCATTGGCCTGTGATTTTCCTGTATCTTGTTTCGCCTTTCTGTGCAGCCCCGTGAGTCTGAAGAGAGCCTCAGCTAGCATTGGACTTGTGGACTTGCGTTGGATGGGCTGGGAGGCCTTCTTGATATGAGATTACTTCTGGATATAAAGTTCCTTCTTGTCCAGAGAGGAGTGGCACTAGCTTTGTTTCTCTAGAAAGCCTGGCCTGATACAGGTACTCTCGTGACCCCCATCTGTGGTGATGCGGAGGTCTGAGGAAGTTTTGTTGTGTCTTTAGAGTATAGGCCTAGCATCACTATAGTCTCTCCACTGGGCAAGCTGGGATTCTGAGTCGTAGGCGTTCCTTCTTGAGCCCTGCAGATGGACCGAAAATTGTCGGAAATCCCAGTTCCTGTTCTGGGAACATAAACTAAAAAACCAAACCCACTGCCATTGAGTGGATTCCCACTCAGAGCAACCCTGTAGCACAGGGCAGAACTGCCCCATTGGAGTTTTTGAGGCTACAAGTTATTTTTTTTGGTGCCGAAACCTGAGAATGAGGCTCCAAGTCTTTATGGGAGCAGAAAGCCTTATCTTTTCCTGCAGAGCAAAGGGCAGATTTGAATTGGCGAACTTGAGGTTACTAGTCTAACATGTAACCCTTTCTGGGAATATAAGTCTCTCTATTTCTGTCTTTTTTCATCCATCCATCCATCCATCCAACCCCTGAGTATGGGACTAGTATGGGCCAGGGTTTCTGCTAGACCTTCTGGGGCACAGGAAGATGAAGAAAACAATATGCTGTAACCTAGT